GCCATTTTTATTTTTTCTCTTACTTTTTTTTTATATTTTATTGTGATGTGTGACTCTTGTGTCCAAATCATTTCTCTTGTGGATCATTAAAGTTTGTCGAAGTCTTAAGTCGTTATAAAAATCGAAAAGTGGCACCACGTGACGCGTAACGGAGCGCGTGTCACACCCTCGGCTCTCATCAAAGGAGCCGCTCGTGCGCGCGTGCCACCTTTTGTCCTCCTCCCCGCCACGCGCCCAAAAGGTGCGCCCCGCGAGCCCTTTGTTCAGGTGTGAGCACGAGGCGCGTGTCCAGAGGCGCGAGGAGCGGGGGGGGCCGTGGGAACACACCTGTGCGCGCGGGCAGGTGTGAACGCCAGCCGCGCGCTCGTTTGTCCGCGGTGTGAACAACAGGCGCGAGGACCCAGGCGTGAACAGCGACACCTGAGCCACGCATGCGCACTCGGCACCGCGGCAGTTGTTTGCGGGTGAGAAGCCGATTCACATGGCGCTAAATAAAGACAGAAGAGTCTGGATTTGAACAAGTTTAAATAAATAACTTATCAATAAACCTGTACCGCGTCCAATCCCCCCAACCACACACATGTACATATCCCCACTGCTGTATATATCTGTGCATATCATGTTTACATGTTCATATTACACCTGACACTTCACTTCAGATTACATTTTTACAGCGCACATGTTCATATATACAGTATCTTCTGCTCATTTATACATGTCATACAGATTTATATTTTACGGAAGCCAAGAGGGGTCACAACAAACGCAAATGTCGCAACAAATACAAATGCAACAATACAAATACAAATGCCGCAACACATTAAAAAGCCACAACACATCAAAAAAGCCACAACACACCAAAAAAAGCCACAACAGAAATGACCGCGGGACTCTATTTTAATGCAAACGCCACAACAAATACAAACGCCATGACACAAACGCAAATGCCGCAACACATGAAAAAAAAAGCCACAACACATGAAAAAAAAGCCACAAGACATGAAAAAAAAGCCACAACACATCAAAAACGCCACAACAAATACAAATGCCACAACACAAACGCAAAAGCCGCAACACATCAAAAAGCCACAACGGAAGTGACCGTGGGACTCTATTTTCCGACGGACCGATCAAGCGGCAAGTGAAGAAGAAGAACTACAACATGAAACAGATAATGATAAAACAATAAATTACTTTTACTTATGTTTCCAACTTCTCCGTTCCTTTACTTTTCAAGGAAAAAGAGACCAGACCAGGACTAAATCAGGACTAAACCAGGACTTTCACTAGAATCATTTGGATCATTACCTCCGCCAAGGAGGTTATGTTTTTGCCGGCGTTTGTCTGTTTGTTTGTTTGTTTGTCTGTTAGCAACATAACTCAAAAAGTTATGGACCGATTTTGATGAAATTTTCAGGATTTGTTGGAAATGTGAAAAGGAAGAACTGATTTCATTTTGGTGGTGATCCGGAAGAAATCCTGGATTCTGGATCACTTTGAATTTTAGTTAACATTGTGGTAAATGGGGCCAAAAATTTTGTTTCTCAATATCTCGGTTAATTATTGACCAAACCCCATGAAATTTGACTCAGGGATGGACAATGGGATCCTCTTTCATATTCCAAAGGCTGATCCGGATCTGATCCAGAAGACTGATTTTATCGCAATTTATATAAAAACTGGGGGTAGTCCTTGGCGGAGGTCTGCGCTCTCTGACTGCTTTTCCAGTTTTAGTTCTGGAATTGCTGGAAAATAGTTTTAAAGATGTAAACAGACTAGAAATGTCTGAATGAAACAAAACACAACTCCGGGTTTGTTTTTGAGGAAGGAATAAAATTCTAACGTGACTTAAATCTCGAGAGTCCGTTTGGCGTCTGTAGGAGCTTTAAGTGCACTGGACGAGCTCACTAAACAAACAAAGGACACTTAAAGGCCGTCTGTCCTCCCTCCTTCGCTCGATCTCTAAATCAGTGAAAGTGTGTGTTCGAGCTCGGGCCCCCGGAGCTGTGGTGAAAGTGTTTGTGTAATAAGAGATAAGTGCTATCTGCTCCCACAAGAACCACCAACCGTTACACAAGAGGATTAACTCCAGCAGCACCACCGCGTTTGTGTTTGGAGAGGAGCTAATCTGTTCACAAAGCACCACCGAGAAAACAATCCACCGCTCAAGACAGAACCACGCTGATCAAATTAAACCGCGAATGGAATTTCTAGTGTTAAAAAACCTGAATTACTCCATTTTCTGATCAGTTCTAATGTAGTTTCCAGTGTTGGGAAAATTACTTTTAAAATGTAATCCCCTACAGATTACAGATTACATACCCCAAAATGTAGTTTGTAACGGAATCCATTAAATTACTTAAAGTAAGTAATGTAATCTGAATACTTTGGATTACTTGATTTGCTGTAGAGAAACAAAAACGAGGAAATCTTCACATAAGATGTTTTGTCTGATAAAAGAAAATAAAAAGTCCAGACTTTACTGAACCAAATTAAAAATATTATTGATAGAAGATGAAGAGACACGTCCACACAGCAGGATTTAGTCCTGGTTTAGTCCTGGTTTAGATCAAGTTTAGACCTGGTTTTAGTCCTGGTTTAGTCCTGGTTTTAGTCCTGGTTTTAGTCCTGGTTTAGATCTAGTTTAGTCCTGTTTTAGTCCTGGTTTTAGACCTGGTTTAGTCCTGGTTTAGATCTAGTTTAGTCCTGTTTTAGTCCTGGTTTTAGACCTGGTTTAGTCCTGGTTTAGACCTGGTTTAGTCCTGGTTTTAGACCTGGTTTTGTTTCCGGCAATGAGTGGAATTAGTAAAAGAAAAAAAAAATCAATTTATTTCAACAAAGTAACTGTAATCCAATTACCACTCACTGAAACAGTAACCAAATACAGTTACTCATAATTTGTACTCTGATTACATAACTCCAGTACATGTAATCTGTTACTCCCCAACACTGCATTTAACACACAAACCCTGCAAGATTTAAACAAGCTCCATGTACAAGATTCATTTCAAGTGTGTCGTTAGTTTAAATAAAGCTTCATAAAACGGCGAACAGACGTTTCTAAACATCTGACGCGAGAGCTGCACGAGTGAAAGCCAAAGTCAATCACACCACTTCAATAGAGCTTCATTATTAAAGCCAGACCCATAATGTGGCCCGTTTCAACCTTCAGATGTACAGCTCCATTTCATTTACTCTTATCGGTTTATTTAAGGCTGTGTGTTTCTGTAGTGACATAACCACATCTGAAACACCGTCCCTCTGAGCCGTAAACAACCCCACACCAAACTGCCTCCTCCACCGTCGTCTGGAACAACAGACGAACGCTCCAGTCAAGTCCTCCTGACTCAAAGCACCGCAGACTAACACAAACCTTCAAAACATACCTGGGAGTGGGATTTTATAGACACCTTTATTATTATTATTATTATTATTATTATTATTGTTTTTTTGTCTGTTTGTTTTAAATGTATGTATTGTATTTATTTAATTTTAAATATAGTTTTAATTTATTTATTTTATTTTGGCTAATATGGTTAACATCTTCTCATCATTATAATGGACACCGCACATTCACTGGAATATGTACACTGCATAATAGGCCCCGGTCAAGCAGAAGTAAACAACAAGGCCAAAAATTCAAGTTAATGCATCTGATATAAAAATGTATTGAACAGATACATATGTACTCTAGTTTATGAAACTGTTGACCTTTTTTCTGTACCATTTTTGGTTCTAAAGTTCCATATGTTTTAAACAGACCATGTATGAAACATGGAACAAAAATTATTTCACAAATTTCAAAGATCTGCAAATCATGTAAATAAATGGATGTATTTCATCATATCTTGTGTTATTCCATCTTTGAACTGTTGATGAAGGTACAGGATTTTTTTTTTTTTATGTATTTAAAATGATAAAAATTGGCTTGGAAGGACTGACATATTTTATAGAAACAGTTTCCTTTCATTTTGAAGTAATATTAAAGTATTCAAAAGAAAAAAGCGACAAATGATGTCAAAATCCTGCACCTTCTACTTGTTTGTACAATTTTCCCTCCGTTACTTTTCCCTCCGTTACCATGACCTTTCTTAATAAAAAATCTCATGAGTCAAAAAGTAAGAGGTTTTTCAACCTAATCTTGTACCATATGGTAGAAAACTATATGAAGCAAATATTCAAACCAGTTTGTTAAGGATATGTAATATTTTTATACTCTTGTCTCAGGGAATGTTCTTATGTTCTTTTGGTAAAAAAGAAAAAAAAAAGTAAAAAAAAAAAAAAAAAAAGATTAACAGAAACCAAACTCAGGTCAGCAGGATCCAGACCCCTGTGGCCTGGCACAGTTTGGCACAGACCCCTGCAGAGGCGTGTGCCCACATCAGCTCCTGCGTTTGGAACCTGACTGACATTCCACACATTTGACATGAAGCAGCTTTAAACGAAGAGTCGTCTTCTCCAAAAGGTTTGAATTTGAACAATGTGGAGCTTCTGCTTTTTGCAGTTTGAAAACAGAAGAACACATCTGCTCCACTCTTCTGCGTCTCCTGCAGGAAAAAAAGAATCAAGGAAAATGATGATGAAAATAAATATTAGTTTCAGTATAGGAATTAAAAAAACAAACAAACAAACAAAAAGGAAGACAAAAGGAATTTCAATTATGAATTGGCCGCAGTGTGTCAATATTAGGGAGTTTAGCGGTGTATTTATGTTGCACTATCACATTTATTTAGTTTGATTTTGCCAAATTTGTGTTGGTGAAATGGGGGGGCTTTCTTTTTTGTATTTGTTGTGGAGTTGTGGGTGTTGCTTTATGTTTTTGTCTTTGTTTTATGTTGAATATTGTAATTGTTAAATGTTAATTGTTGTTTTATTTTCTAATTGTTATATTCTGTTGTCCTTAATAATAAAAAAAATATATATATATATAAATATATAGAATCAACAAGTGAAGCTCTAAATGTGACCAGAGAGAAATGTGATTTTATTCAAAATGAAGGCTGACCAATGAATGTCTCACACGTGTCACTGAAAGTAAACACATGGACATGTCTCTGTAAACACCATGCACACACGACTCTGGACTGATGCACACTTCACACAGATCTGACATTACTGTGTTCAGAATCACATGTTCAACTTTAAACTGAATATCTGAACTGTGATCAAATCGATCTCAGATGAACCTGCTCGTCTCTGTGGAGAGGTTATCGCTTTGTGGCATTAAACAGAGTCAAGCACCTGCTCGTCTCTATATGGAGATGAACACCACCAAGTTACAGGTCAGATCTGTGGTGAGGCAACTGTGCTCATGAATGTCTGCTTTTCTAGTAATGAAACACTTGTAACTGAACAGCTGCAAGGCAGATCAGTTTAATGCCTCACTGCGGAATCTTGTGTCAGAACTGAGCATGAACAAACTGGTGCGACACAGGGAGGACACGGACATTTCACTCACAACTACCTTGTTTATGAGGGAATTCAACTCGTAACCTTGTAGTGGTGGCGCCCAAGTCTAAACCAGTAGAACGCTGAGGATTAGGACGAGGGATGGGCATTCGATTAAATGTTCTTAATCAATCATCAGGAGAATTAACGATCGATTATCGATTAATCATTAACGTTTTTATATTAAAATTATCATCATTATTATTACTATCTGCACTACTAAATTCAACTTTATGACATATAAACTGTAACCACTCTAGAGCCACATCAGCCCGTTTGACAATAGAATGTGTTTAATGCAGCTTTGTGCAACTCTCACAGAAACAAAACTTGCTCTTGTGCACTGATGCGACATGACTCAGTGGAATACAGGTTAGTGTGACCATATTTGTGTTTGTCAAAACCAGGACACCGTACGGGGGGTGGGAGGTGGGGACTCGTCATCGACATTGGGCGACTCTCACCTGGCAAAACTTTTTCATGTTTTCGTGTCCTGAATTTTTTCACACTGGTCACCGAAACATATGTGCTGCTTTGTACACTGTGCACATGGCCTCACACTTGTCACGACTGGAACAGAAAGTGTGGAATTTCTTGTACATGTCATCGTTAAATACACAGTTGCATTTCGGTACTTTGCAGACTGACCCACTGTTTGTGTCTCGCTCCTTCTGAGTGTAGAGACACATGTACACACCCGTTTGTCCCCGGACACGGACGTTTGGTCACCCTACGCTACACACAGCAACCTACATTCGGTTTGTCGATTAAAAATGAATGTAATCGATGAAATTCTTAATGATCAATTATCGATTAATCGACTAATCATGCCCATCCCTAATTAGGAGCACGATGCACCATCACAAACACAATCCATTAGAAGCTTTTTGGTTGGACGCCTTCACACAAACCTTTATTACATGAACCAGATTCAACAACACACTTCATTTTTCATCTAGTCTCTTGAACGAAGCGCAGCGTTTTCAGTTTGAGTTTCTCCAGTTCAAACGCCGCTGCCGTCCTTTCTTTATTTCAGTACAAAACAACTGTTCTTTTTCATCCAATCAGCAGCTCCGAGGCGACCGAAAGGGGAGGAGTGACCCCGGCCTCAAGGCTCTGAGTGGTCCGTGGAGCAGTCCGTCGTCGTCTCGTTTGGCTCTTTTCAGTGATTGGCCGGCGTGGCTGCTGCTCTGCCCGGATACCGCATCCTGATTGGTGGACGAGTAGGGAGCGGACGGGATCACTGTTGTTTTGAACGCCAAAACCGAGACGTGATGGAGCCTAGAGAGAGACCCTGTTTTTTCTGCTGAGAGATTTCTGAGAGACGCTGCTCCTCCTCCTGGAAACATACAAAAACATAAATGATCAATATTAAGTTTGACATTTATAATTGTGAAACTGAAAATATATGGTCGAAAAGCTCCTATATTACGCAAAACGGCCTCTTGTGAGCTTTAAGACATGTTGGAATATTGTTACTTCCTCATAAACAGACCTGGAGTTGTGCCTTCATACTCCACGTTTAAATTTGGATTCAATATACAGTTATTTTGCGGACTATAAGTTGCACTTTTTTTCATAGTTTGGGTGTTTTCTGCGAATTATACTCCAGTGTGACATATATATTAAAGTTTTCAGACTGACAGCTGAGAGAGGCTCTAGTCTTGTGTGTCTGTATCTATTACTCCTGTACCACTGTCACTTCACTCTACTGCACGTCTCCTGTAGAAAAAGCCCCTGTTCTGCTGCAAATAGTGAAATATTCAGCCAAAAATGGTAATCGAGCAGAGAGAGAAAGTTTGGAGCGAGTGAAAACCTGTGAGGGACTGGGGAAAAGCGAACATGAAGAACACAGCTTCACGGTAAGAGGGCGGGTGCACCATGTAACTATCTTGCCACAGTTGTGCCTTTTTGTTTATGTTTTCCCCAGTCCAGCTCTGTTTCCCTGTCTGTTCTGCTCCTCTTTTTGCTGCCTCCCTCCTTTTCCTGCAGCTGACTCTTATTCACTAATCATCCCAGGGTAGTCTACATATACTCCTGCTCATTCAGTCTTTGCCAGACCAGTGAAGACATACTCTCTAGCTCTCTGAAACGCTGATCTTGTATTTGGTTGTTTGCATTTTGTGCATTCTGATTTATTCATTTATAGTATCTGTTTAAGTTTTATTCCAGCAGTATTTTCCCAGCTTTTGGAAGAGATTTTAGTTCACATTAAATAAATCATATATTCCTTTGTAGTTCCTTTTCAGTCTGATTTGCCATATTAAACATTACGTGTCAAGGACACTTTCTGTTATTGATTTAAGCCTTTGTTTGCCTGCATGCTTGTGTTGCATTTGAGTTCAAGTGACCTGCGTGATATTTCCTGAAGTCACTGTGGATGAATCGACAAAGCCTGGACTTCAGTGACACCGAAACCATCTTGTCGAGATTCAGAAAGGCCAGAATAATTCTAACTGGAACTGACGCTGAGTCTGACGACAGCGACACAGAAGAGGAAGTGACGCTTTGTTTACCTCATGGATCTATGGTTTATCTCCGGAGGTCGCGCAGAAGTGACACCGAGGACGAAGAATTCAATGGATTTAGTGATTTGGAGTGAGATCATGAGTTTGGTAAACTTATGTTCTGTTGTTTACGTGACAAATTATCTGAAGAGCTGTGAATATGTTACATTAACATAATAACAACACCAATTCAGTCTGTTGTTCTCTCTTCTATTGTTATTACTAGAACTTGCCTTTCAAGATGAAATGTCGCTTCCTGGTCTCTGATTTTATAGAATAAATTTCCCCAAAAAGTGCGACTTATGTTTTTTTTCTTTATTATGCATTTTTTGGCTGGTGCGACTTAAACTCCGAAGTGATTTATAGTCTGGAAAATATAGCAATGATCATGTCGACTGATATTGTCATTGCAAATTAAAAATCCTCTCTTAAAGCTCCCATGTGGTCTTCTACTAGTTAAAATAAAACCCCAGATCGTTCTAGAACTGTGATACTGTTGATACTTTTGATTGAATATATGTGATGAACGAGCCTGGTGGGGTATTTATTACTAATTATATTGAAAATGATTAGAAGTGAAGTAGATTTGCCGTGAGCAGAGGAGCAGAGGAAGTGGCGTTGTCCTTTCAGACCTGGGCCAGTTGAGCTTGTCGTCGTTTAAAGGCGTCGATGGGGTCCTCCTCCAGAGCGTAGTTCTCCAGCACCGAGCGCACGTCCTCCACCCCGCTCAGAGCGATGGCTGCAAACACAAAACTCTACTGTTAACAAGCCACCGCGGCCACAAACTAAGAAAAATGACTACTACTACTACTACTACTACTACTACTACTACTACTACTACTACTACTACTACTACTACTACTACTACTACTACTACTACTACTACTACTACTACTACTACTACTACTACTACTACTACTACTATTAGCATTACTAGTACTGTAGGAGGCTGAAGCTGAACACTTATTTTGCCTAACCCCCCTCTAAACACAACAACTACACAACTACTACAACTACTAAAAGTACAACACCTATTGCAACAACTACTACAAATACTACTACAACTATTTCAACAGCTACAACAACTACAACAACTACAACTACTACAACAATTATTACAACAACTACAACTACTACAGCAACTAAAAGTACAACACCTATTGCAACAACTACTACAAATACTACTACAACAATTATTACAACAGCTACAACTACTAAAACAACTATAACTACTACAACTACTACAACAACTACAACTATTACAACTACAACTATTACAACTACAACTAATACAAATACTACTACAACAACTATTACAACTGCTACAACTACTAAAACAACTATAACTACTATAGCAACAACTACAAATACTACAACAATTATTACAACAACTACAACTACAACAACTACAGCTACAACTACTACAACTACTACAACTACTACAGCTACAACTACTACAACAACTACAGCTATTGCAACTACTAAAAGTACAACACCTATTGCAACAACTACTATAACTACTACTACAACTATAATTACTACTACTGCAACTACTACAAGTATTACAACAACTATAACTACTATAGCAACAACTACAACTATTAAAACAACTACTACAACTATTATAACAGCTACAACAACTACAACAACTACTACAAGTATTACAACAACTATAATTACAACAACTACAACTATTACAACTACACAACTACACACTACTACAACTACACAACTACAACAACTACTACAAGTATTACAACAACTATAATTACTACAACTATTACAACAACTACAACTACTACAACAACTATAACTACTACAGCTACTTCAACAACTATAACTACTATAGCAACAACTACTACAACTATTATTACAACTACAACTACTACAACTATTACATCTACTATAACTGCAACTATTACAACAACTACAACAACTACTACAACTACTACAATTATTACAACAATTACAACTACTACAACTACGACACCTAATTCAATAACTACAACTACTACAAAAACTACAACTATTACAACAAATACAACTATTACATGTACTACAACAACTACAGCTGCAACTACTACCACAACTATAATTACTACAACTATTACAATTACAACTACTACAACTATTACAACAACTCCAGCAACTATTACAACAACTCTAACTATTATAGCAATTACAACTACCATAACTACTACAACAACTACAGCCATCAGCGATGACAAGACTTGTAGCAGGCTAATGTAGAGTTGTGTTCCTCCTACTGCAGCTCCAGATTCTGAGCAGTTCCCTGTCCACACAGCTCTGATCATTCACGGCGTGTCTTACTCTTGAGGAAGTTGGCGAGGTCGTATAGCGTTCGGTCGTCTGAGTTTCCGTCCCACTTCTTCAGGGCCATTCCGTTAAAAGGCTGCAGACTGAAGGCCTCGCGCTTACAGTCCACCACGATCACTCTGCTGGTGTCGCGGTTTAGACACGACACATCCTGCACAAAAAAACACAAACTGAATATTTACAAACAGGAATTAGATAAAGTTTAAAATGTCCTATCTTACGCAAAAGTGACTCTCGTGAGCTTTTAGACCATGTTAGAATGCTGTAACCTCACCAAAAACAGACCTGGAGTTGTGATTTGTTTTGTTTCATTCACATGTTTGAGCAATCCTTTATTATAAGTCCGTTTTTCAAGTTAAAGTTTTCAAGTTAAAAGGAGCTGTTAACTTGAAAACTAGGTTAGGTAACATTCTAACAATGCTTAAAGCTCTCAGGAGTCAATTTAGAATAATATAGGCCCTTTAAGTACACATTTTGGTCTCCTCTCTGACCCATGTGACCCGGAGCTCCTCAGTCTGAGTGGTGGCCTGCATTTGGATGGGATCAGACATCTTAAGTTTCCTCCACAGAGCAAAGACAACAGTGGGATTAACCTCTGTGTGGAAAGGGGACTGCCTAGACCCCAGAGCCCAGAGCCCAGAGTTCAAAGCCCAGGGCCTGCTGTCAGAGCTACCAGCAAGAGCCCAATCACAGTAAATACTGATGTGTTTTATCAGAGGAAGAAGGACATTCAAAATACAGGGACTAGAGCAGGGGTGTCAAACTCATTTTGGTCCGGGGGCCGTATCCAACCTACTTTGATCCCAAAGGGGCCGGATCAGAAAACTCATGACATATAAACTCAAAAATAGCAATAAGTTCAAATATTTGTGCAGAGAAACACAAATTTATTACAGAAATCTTTTTTAATTGATGAACTCTTTCTTTTACAAAATATTATAATATTAAGAACAACCAGAAACTTTAAGAAAAATACAATTTCAACACAATGTTTTAACATGAACTTGTCTGCAAACAGGAATAAGTCAATTTTTATTGTTAAATCCTGCACTCGGCTCCACTTTTCTCATGTTGGACATTTTTCTGATGAGGGTGTCACGGTCAACAGTCAAAACGATCGTCCTTTAAGAGCGTTTGGAAAGAGACAAGTCTTCATTTGTGCTGCTCTGGTGGGAGGGGCCACGTACAGAGACACTGGAGACGCCGCTCTGCTAAGCAACGCAGAAAATTACCAATATTTAAATAGAAAATATAATTAAAATATTTTAGAAGAAAATCAACCAAGGGCCAGATTAAAGGTCTTGGAGGGCCGGATCCGGCCCCCGGGCCTTATGTTTGACACCTGTGGACTAGAGCAAACATCGTCATTATAGGGTTAGGTTTAGTCCAGGTCTAGTCCAGGTCTAGTCCAGGTCTAGTCCAGGTCTAGTCCAGGTCTAGTCCAGGTTTAGTCCAGGTTTAGTCCAGGTTTAGTGCAGGTTTAGTGCAGGTTTAGTGCAGGTTTAGTGCAGGTTTAGTCCAGGTCAGTTTAGTCCAGGTTAGTCCAGTTAGTCCAGGTTAGTCCAGGTTTAGTCCAGTTTAGTCCAGGTTTAGTGCAGGTTTAGTCCAGGTTTAGTGCAGGTTTAGTCAGGTTTAGTCCAGTAGTTTAGTGCAGTTCAGTCCAGTCAGGTTCAGTCCAGGTTCAGTCCAGGTTCAGTCCAGGTTCAGTCAGGTTCAGGTTTAGTGCAGGTTCCAGGTTCAGTCCAGGTTCAGGTTTCCAGTTGTCAGGTTTAGTTGCAGGTTTAGGCAGGTTTAGTCCTAGTTTAGTCCTAGTTTAGTCCAGATTTAGTGCAGGTTTAGTGCAGGTTCAGTCCAGGTTTAGTCCAGGTATAGTCCAGGTTTAGTCCAGGTATAGTCCAGGTTTAGTTGTTAAAAGTGGTTGTACCCAACGTCTTTCCATGTAATTGACCAACAGTTGTTGTAACCCAGCACAGAAATGTGATAAATGACGCAAGCGGCTCTTGAGGTAAAAATGAGAGCTCTGTGTCCCGTCTGCATCTAATTATAAAGCCATTTAATCTTAAAGAATCAGGACATGAGCTGTTAACATGATAATCATTTTTTAAATAAGTTTGTTAGCGTTATTGCAACGACCAGTCTCCACTCTAGCCTCTGAAAGTTGTAAAAACAGTTTATGAATTTATAGTGGTAAATAAATCGGAATGCTGGGAATTCGTTTCTCATTGTGTTTTGGTTAATATTTGACATCAGTAGGAGTGTTTTTATTTGCTTTGCTCTTTCCATTCATTGGAGTTTGTGTGATTAATCTCTTAAAGCAGGCTGAAAAAGCACACGGCTCGTGTTAATTGAAATCCCAGTATTTTCCTGATAGCTCTAACTTTCTCTGCACATATGGAGCGGAGGCACTCTCTCCGGACATATGCCCGTCTGCTCTCTGCTTGTGTCTTGAGAATGGGAAGTAGGTTAAGACCCCCCTCCCTCCCCCTCCCCTTTCTCCCAAATACAAACTGAACAGTGAAGTGATTGACGGGAGGGAGGGGGGAAGGGGGCGGGACATAGTAATGAGGGCGACCAATCAATGAAGCAGAAGGCCGGACAGCAGGGTGCCCACTCTGCCATTTTATGTAAAAGGATTAAAAGGGGTGATTCTGTATTTTGTAAATCTCAAGTCTGGTTTAGTCTCGGTTTAGATAATACAGATCTTGGTCATTCTAGTCTAGGCCTGGTCAAGACCTGGTTCTTCCATGGTTAGTCCCTGCTTCAGTCCTGTTTCAATCCCACTTCAGTCCCCCTTCAGTCCCGCGTTAGATAATATAGACCTTGCTTAATTCTAGTCTAGGCCTGGTCTAGCCAAGACCTGGTTCTTTCACAGATAGTCCTTCCCCATTGTGTACACAGGAAGTACACTGAAGTACACTAGAGTAGAACAGTACTTGAAGTTGCTGTGTCATTGTGTATTGAAGTACACAGGAGTAGTACAGTACCTTGACGTGGTGCCCGTCCATGTACCGCGTGGCGTCTCTGAAAAGGCGGTACATGACGAAGCCTTGAGGGTCTATGCTGTCAATCAAAGGATACGCCGTCTGAGGGAAATAAAAAAACAAAAACAAAACACACACATTACGAAGTTTATACAGATCCTGGTTCTAGTCCCTGGGTCTAAGTTCTAATTCAAGTCAATGGTTCAGTCCCTGGTCCAGTCCCAGGTCAATTTTTTTTTCGAAATATCTTTTGAGGTAAATAAATACAAGTTAAGTGACATTTCTTTAAACATTTTAAAAAACAGTTCTCTTGAACTCCTCTCAAAAGCATGTGTGTTACTAGACGTGGAGTAGATTTATGGAATATCTTACATGACCATATCAAAGCTTGGACTAACTTGGTGCACTTCAAAAAACAATATAAAAATCTAATCTTACAGAAATCCAAAGAAAACTAGATCCATTGTCTTCACAAGTAAAACCACAACTATTAACAAAACACATGCTTTTCTTTAACATTACATTTAACATTATCTGTTATTCTGTTACGATTATAACCGATTCATTTTGTGCATTCTTTATTATTATTATTTGTTTCTACTAGGGGTGTAACGATATACAAGTCTCACGATACGATATTATCACTGTATGAACCTCACAGTACGACATTTTTTGTGATGTGGAGACAACTGTTAATATTCTACTTTTTCCTCTTAAAATGCCTTGACAAGACTTAATCCAAAGAACTAAGACTTAAAAGTGTTAGAACTGTTATTTCTTCTTGTAATCTGCACTGAAATGAAGCAAAGGATCATGGTCTATGTAGTTCTCTGTGTATTTTTTTTTTAGCTATTACTGCACCATAACTCTTCATTTAAGCAAAGAGACTTGTAATTTGATATATTGTGATGGTCCATGATATTATTGTGAGAACTCTGACGATATGATATCACGATATTTCAGATATTGTTACATCCGTAGTTTCTACGACCATAAAAGAAAACAAAAAATCCTTAAATTTTTTCATTCTCATTGTGGTTTATTTTGTACAATCCTAAATGTTAATAATGTTAACAAAGGCACAAAAGTTTATTAGTTTGTACACAGTGTTGTGAAGGTGACTTTTAAAATGTATTCCCCTACAGATTACAGATTACATACCTCAGAATGTAGTTTATAACATAATCCATTACATTACTTAAAGTGAGTAATGTAATCTGAATACTTTGGATTACTTGATTTGCTGTAGAGAAGCAAAGACTCGGATACTCAACCATATTAAAATATTATTGATAGAAGAAGAGGAGACACGTCCGCGCAACAGGATTTAGTCCTTGTTTAAACCTGGTTTAGATCTAGTTCAGACCTGGTTTTAGTCCTGGTTTAGATCTAGTTTAGACCTGGTTTTAGTCCTGGTTTAGATCTAGTTTAGACCTGGTTTTAGTCCTGGTTTAGATCTAGTTTAGACCTGGTTTTAGTTCTGGTTTAGATCTAGTTTAGACCTGGTTTTAGTCCTGGTTTTAGATCTAGTTTAGACCTGGTTTAGATCTAGTTTAGACCTGGTTTTAGTCCTGGTTTAGATCTAGTTTAGACCTGGTTTTAGTCCTGGTTTAGATCTAGTTTAGACCTGGTTTTAGTCCTGGTTTAGATCTAGTTTAGACCTGGTTTTAGTGGTTTAGATCTAGTTTAGACCTGGTTTTAGTCCTGGTTTAGATCTAGTTTAGTTTAGACCTGGTTTTAGTTCTGGTTTAGATCTAGTTTAGACTGGTTTAGTCTGGTTTAGATCTAGTTTAGACCTGGTTTTAGTCCTGGTTTAGATCTAGTTTAGACCTGGTTTTAGTCCTGGTTTAGATCTAGTTTAGACCTGGTTTAGTCCTGGTTTAGTCCTGGTTTTAGTCCTGGTTTTAGATCTTAGTTTAGACCTGGTTTAGATCTAGTTTAGACCTGGTTTTAGTCCTGGTTTAGTCCACGTTTAAACCTGGTTTAGATCTAGGTTAGACCTGGTTTAGTTTCCACCAATGAGTGGAATTATCGAAAAAAATAAATAAATAAATGAAATTAAAATAATGTGACAACAGGAAAACAGGAAATCCACTTATTTTAACAAAGTAACTTGTGTAACTGAATACAGTTACTCAAAAAAAAAGAAGACATCTTTAAAAAAATGAAGATAAGAACTTGTGTACCTATTTGAGGGGTTAGTCAAAAGAACAACCTGAATGATGGTAAAAAAAAAGTCTAACACTGTAGAAGCCTTTAAGAAAATAGCATAAAGAGTATAAAGTGTTATGTTTTTAAAGATGTAGAGCTCTGGAATGAATGAATTATGCATTACATTTTGTTTGTTTTAATTGATATTTTGTCTCTTATATACAGTAAGTCATAAGTGAAACTGTAAATGTAAACTTGCTGTTCAGACGCTGCTTTTCCATCTTGAAATTCTGTCACTGTTTAAAAGGGTTTGGCTTTATAAGTATTTTTTACTTCAGCCTAAACTCTTTCGATCATGATCCATGGGGTTTGTAGTCTATGTTTTGTTTTGTTTTGGTTTTGTAGGGCTGCGAAAAGACCGAATAAACTACTAAACATGACCACTAACTGTCTATTAAAAATCACTGATCCATGTGTGTAGTATTGTAGAGTATAGAGTTGAAATGTTCTCACCATCCCGGTCTCTGCCGTGAAAATGACAATCTCATAAAGTGGTGCCAGCTGCTGGAACAGATACTCGATGCCCGGGCGCTTTTTAAACCTCCAACCGGTCGCCAGCTGAGGAGAGAGGACTGGGTTAAATACAGCAGTGTCTTCAAAATGTGATTTTAAAGATCCTATATCACACTAAATGGACTCTTGTGAGATTTAAACCGTGTTAGAATACTGTTCCCTCCTCCAAAACACAGCTGGAGTTGTGTTTTGCTTCATTCACACGTCTGAGTAACTCTTTATTATTAATCTGTCTGCATCTGCAAAGCTCAAAATGCTCTGTTCCAACTTGTGATGTCATGAAGCAGTAGTTTTCAAGTGAACAGCTCCTTTTAACTTTTGTTTAGTAGATTGGCAATTCCAGGACTGATTATCCAAATGATTCTACTGAAAATGTATGGAGTTTAAAAAGGCAAGGAAAGGCAAGTTTATTTGTACAGCACAAGTCATACACAAAATAATTCAAGGTGCGTTACAGAAAAAGAAATACATTAAAATAACAAAAAAAACAACAATCAAAACATAATAAATAATCATCACAAAATTAAAGATAAAAAAAAGAATAAAAAAAAAAGAGAGAGACATTAATTACATAAATTAGAGAGAAGAATGCAAAATAAAAACCTGTCAGTCATATGTAGGGGTGTGCAAAAATATAGGAATATCGATATATTGTATAGTTTAATGTGATACAGTATCGATATCGTGGGCTGCTGTATCGATATATTACCAAGAGTAATTTTAGGTATATTTTACTTAATTATTTTGTTACTGTGCTACAGTTTTGTTGCTTGTTTAGTGAAAGGAAACTAATTTATGCAACACATTTGACATTTTGACACTGTTTTGATTATTGAAATGTTTGTGTTTCATATGAACTTTGCACAAGTTGTTTAACAAAGACTTTTAGTATCGCAGCCATGATTTAGCCTTTATTGTTTACTGAACCGTATAAAATTTATTTGAAATATATTGTATCGTACCGAAAGTGCACTGTATCGAGATATGTATCGTATCGTGGCCTGTGTATCGAGATATGTATCGTATCTGCAACCCAGTCCTAGTCATATGCACAGTGAAACAACAGTTTTGAGCCTGGATTTAAACAGCGTCACAGAAGAGTCTGTCTCACATGTTCAGACTGTTCCAGGTTTTAGCTGCATGAACCCGAGCTGCAGCGTTCTGAATGTTCTGCAGCGTCTCACAGCTCGTTTGGAAAGACCAGTGAGCAGACCGTTACAGTATCGTATTTTCCGCACTATTAGGCGCTCTGGATTATGAGGCACACTGTCATTAAATGGTCTATTTTCAAACTTTTTTCACAAATAAACCACACCGGACTTTAAAGGAAACACAACAGTGTGATGGGTGAGTGGTTTTGTTTGTTTGGTGCGTTCACGGTGACTCTGGGCTTTGTTCAGTTGTGGCGTGTAGGGAGGGTGCTGTCTGGGGTCGCTGGATTTGTCGGCGTGTTCGCAGTGACTCAGTTGTTCAGTTGTGTCTAGAAGCGGCATATTCCTCCGTTCCGTTCCTCATCCACGTGGAGTGATGAGTGTGTCTGTGGGTGTGTTTCGCTGTGCAGTCGCTGTCTGCTCCGTGTGTGTTTGCGTGCGCTGCAGGTGGTGCGGCTTTGTAGTTTACTGAAGTCGTGCTGGGACACCCGAGTGGATTCGTGCATGGGGCGCTCTGGATTGCATTTTTTGATGTAGTTAGAGGCTTAAGAGTGCGTCTAATAGCCCGGAAAATACGGTATCTAACCTACTGGAGACAAACGCTTGAATAAGTCTCTCCAAGTCTGCTTTAGACAGTAAACCTTAGATTTTTGCCATTTTCTAGATTGTAAAAGGCTGCAGATGTTATTGATTTGATGTGACTGTTAAAGTTCAAGTCTGAGTTCATTATTACCCCGAGATTTCTTGCCTGATTTGAAGGTTTTTGAGAGAGACTGGAGGTGATACTGACACTGTCTCTTTGTTTCTGTGGACCAAACACTATGGCTGCGTTCAGACTGCAGCCTGAAGTGACCCAAATCCAATTTTTTGGCCTCTATGTTCCTGTATCTGATCTTTTATCGACAGTCTGAACCACACAGATCAGATTTTTTCAAATGTGACCCAGGCCACTTGGATATGTGCTCCTAAAACTGATACATATCTGATCTTTTGACATGTGACTTCAGTCTGAACGGCCAAAGCGCATTCATTCGACCTACACGTTATCAACAAGCCACAAACGTCACTATTCTGCGCTGAAGTAGGCGAAAATTGTTAATGAACTCCGTGTCACTGAAGTGAAGCACATCACCACTCACCACTCTTGGCTCCGTCTCCACATCCACACGTTCCTTTCAATGGACGTCGCTGCCGCTGCCCCACAAAACACCACGGCCAAAAACCTCGTCCTTCTTTCTCAATCTCCTCCTTAAAACAAGTAAGTTGTTCATGTTCTGGCTCCGGTACGAGAGGAACTTTAAAATCTCCAGGTGCTCAATGCTGCGTCCATGTTTGGACAACTTCTGACGCTCGCTGTGGTTGACGTCGTCGTGTCTCCAGTGCACATGTGGGACACTTTCGGGCCGTTTACTGTTCACACTGTAGTTCACATACAAGTCACATTTAATTGGAAATGTGAACGACCTCGCAAAAACATCGGATTTCACAAAAAAATCGGAATTGAACGTTAAGCCCTGCAGTCTGAACGTAACCTATGACTTGTGTCTTGTCTGAGTTTAGCTGGAGAAAGTAGAATGGAGCACTACTGGTATTACTGCATGACATCACAAGGTGGAAAAGAGTTTTTTGAGGCACATGATTTGAAAAAAGCGTACTATGGGCCCTTTAACCATAATATTGTATAGTCTTGCATGAGATGTGTAACTGTTTTTGTTTTTGTGAATGGGCGGTCTGTCGAGGCTCACGTTACAGGTACACCTGTCAGGTAAAGTGCGACAGGTGGAGGTCACGCCCCCGCACCGCGCACCTGTCCACAGCCTCTGATCTCCACCACAGCGTCGCTCCTTTGAGTCTTTGTCAAGCTCCAGATAAATGCCCTTTCCAATGTGTATCCGCTTTTAAAAGAATTTTAAAGAATAGTAAAAACAGGAAAGACAGATGGATAATGGGGATGATGTGAGCGACAGGTGCAGACAGGTTCAGGGGCCGTAGCAGTATATTGTGCAGATTAAAACCAAACTCTGTCTTTATTAATAAAAGATTCAGTGAGGGTAAGAGGAAACCAAAAAAGCTTTAACTTCAGGTTCAACAAAACTTGCATCTGGTACGTGTTAGACTAGTTTTCCACAATCTTTAGGAATTTGAAACTAAACGGGAGTATATTATGAATAATTGATCTTGTTATGGATGTGTTTATATCAATAAGAAAAAAAAAAAGTTATCAGAGGAAAATACAGAGACTGGTGCAAATATCATCATTATAGGTTCAGATTTAGTGCCAGGTCTAGTCCAGGTTCATTTCTGGTTTAGTGCAGGCTTAGTGCAGGCTTAGTGCAGGCTTAGTGCAGGCTTAGTGCAGGTCTAGTCCAGGTCTAGTCCAGGTCTAGTCCAGGTCTAGTCCAGGTCTAGTCCAGGTTCATTTCTGGTTTAGTGCAGGTTTAGTGCAGGTTTAGTGCAGGTTTAGTGCAGTTTAGTGCAGTTTTAGTGCAGTTTTAGTGCAGTTTTAGTGCAGTTTTAGTCCAGTTTTAGTCCAGTTTTAGTCCAGTTTTAGTCCAGTTTTAGTCCAGTTTTAGAGCAGGTTTAGTGCAGGGGTAGTGCAGGGGTAGTGCAGGTTTAGTCCAGTTTTAGTCCAGTTTTAGTCCAGTTTTAGTCCAGGTTTTAGTCCAGTTTTAGTCCAGTTTTAGTCCAGTTTTAGTCCAGTTTTAGTCCAGTTTTAGTCCAGTTTTAGAGCAGGTTTAGTGCAGGTCTAGTGCAGGTCTAGTGCAGGGGTAGTGCAGGGGTAGTGCAGGTTTGGTCCAGGTTTAGCCCAAGTTTAGTCCACGTTTAGTGCAGGTTTAGTGCAGGTTTGGTGCAGGTTTAGTCCAGTTTTAGAGCAGGTTTAGTGCAGGTTTAGTGCAGGTTTGGTCCAGGTCTAGTGCTGGGCTAGTCCAGGTCTAGTCCAGGTCTAGTCAGGTTTAGTCCAGGTTTAGTCCAGGTTTAGTCCAGGTTTAGTCCAGGTTTAGTCCAGGTTTAGTCCAGGTTTAGTGCAGGTCTAGTGCAGGTCTAGTGCTGGTCTAGTGCTGGTCTAGTGCTCTAGTCCAGGTTTAGAGCAGGTTTAGAGCAGGTTTAGTCCATCTTTAGACCGGGTTTAGTCTGGGTTTAGTGCAGGCGTAGTGCAGGTTTAGAGCAAGTTCAGTCCTGGTTCAGTCCTGGTTCAGTCCTGGTTCAGTCCTGGTTCAGTTGTTTAAAGTGGCTGTAGCCAACTTCTGATATGATATAAGCAGTTCTTGAGGTAAAAATGAGAGCACTGTGTCCTGTCTGCATCTAATTGTAAAGCCATTTATCCTTAAAGAATCAGGACATGAGCTGTTAACATGATAATGTTTGTTAAAAAAATGAGTCAGCTTGCATCTCCACAAACCTGGCCTGTTGTTCCTTTGACCATAATATTCCACAGTATGACAGAAAACTTATCTTTGTGGAGAATGTTAGAGAAAGTTACACACTAGTTCGATCTGAAGAGAGGCAAACGCACTCATAGTAAGAAGGAAAGTTTTAAGGTGTTTTTGTGCAATAAAAACAGCTGAAATAAAAAAGAAAAAGGCAAAAAAAGATCAGTTTAATGTCCCACTGTCCCACATCAATTTATTATTTTTTTTTATAACGCTAATGATTTTTTGTGCATTGTCCCTGATTGATTATTGCTTTGTCCGGAATGTTTGACAGTACAGCATTAAAAATTCTTCATCTACATTATCATCATCATCTTCATGGAGACCAAATGAGACCAAGTTACAGGTCAGATCTGTGGAGAGGCGACACCGCTCACAGTCAGAATGCCTGTTTTCCTGAGCTACGAAACTATAAAATGAAATAAATGTAAAGTAGAGCTGTTTAATGTCATACTGTGGAACATTCTAAGCATAGAAACAAGCAAGGGACGGACCTCCAGCCATAAAAGTTACACAGTGCATCTTTAAATCAATTCTAATTCTATTCTAATTCTAAGGAGAGATTTTTCTGGAGAGCTGAACGTGACGGTGTGAGGCCTCGTGGAGCGTGTTCCTTACCGACCACTCTGGATGCAGTAGTACGTCTGTGAGCTCCAGCACCAGGGTGTACGGAGGCTGGTAGTACGGCTCCTTTAAAGGGTCTGGGAGAAGCTTTGGGCTGGTCGGCTCGATGATCATCTGAGGAGAGGAGAGACGGGGATGTGGGTGAGAATTCTCCTGAGCAGACAATCTCTTCTACATTCTGTCCCACTCCAGAAAGAGTCTGGAATGGGACGGCAGAGCGTGAAAAAAAACTCCCTCTAAACTTGAGACGATCCAACCACAGCCGTTTATTTGTAGTGTTTCTCAAATGCTCCAAAATTCTTGTAACATTCAGAACAAAATGTAGAACTTCTTTTAACAAAGCTCAAAATGCTCTGTTCCACCTTGTGATGTCATGAAGTTGTAGTTTAAGTGAACAGCTCCTTTTACATTTTATTTACCGTATTTTCCGCAATATAGGGCGCACTTAAAAGCCTTTAATTTCATCCAAAAACAACTGCGCGCCTTATAATCCAGAGCGTTTTATATATGAATTTATTGGTTTGTCTTAGTACGACTTTAGTAAACTACAAAGTCGCTCCACTTGCAGCGTTCCAGCTCCCGTAGTCAGGAGCATCAGGAGTAATACAGACTGTGATTCCTTCTAATATCAAAATGCACCTGTCAAGAGACACGCTTACAACACCCACTTTAACCTCAAGGCTGTTATAAAGTGAAAGTTCGAGCTGTGTGGGAGCAGTAGATGAGAGAAGGAGAACACACATTCATCAAGACAGAGAGACAGCGCCGAGCGACTTACGCCACAATCTGCCAACGGATCTTGGACGCCTGGGCTAAGGATCAGTATCAACTGTGGTCCGAGCTTTCACCAAGACCAGAATCATCACTGAACTGCCAGGGAACAGTAACCACACTGACTCTGATAATGACGAGAGGGATGTGGGCGAACTAGACACTGGAATCACCCAACTGTTTGAACTATTATGAACAATTATGACTTATTGTGAATACACTTTTAACGCTCTCAGACAGTATTTTTTTACGCTTTATAATTGGACAAACTTGAGTTATTGTGAACGCGTTAAATAAAGTGTGACTGACTTATCTAACTGTTGTGTTTCATTTAATGTGCCTTATAGTCCGGTGAGGTTTATATGTGAAAAAACTTTGAAAATAGACCATTCAATGACAGTGTGCCTTATAATCCAGAGCCCCTATAGTGCAGAAAATACGGTAGTAGAGATTGATAATTCCATGGCTGATTATCCAAATGATTCTACTGAGGGTGTGTGGAGTTTAAAAATACAGTGGAGCACTTCCTGTATTACCACATGACATCACAAGGTGGAACAGAGTATTTTGAGTTCAAGATAAGAACTCAGTCTAAATACGCAGGATTTGTGTGTTAAAAAATTAAAGAAAACCCAACTCCAGGTCTGTTTGTGATGAGGAAACTACATTAGAACATAGATCTGTATAAACAGTGTAAACCTCAACTAACACGTTCAGAGACACATTTCAGTTAGCACTTTTTAACTAACTTTTTTTTATATGATAAACTTTGACAAGCATCACATTTTGAGACTCAAACTGTGCACCTCCTCCTCACCTGTCTGTAGTCTTTGAAGTATTTGACCGTCCGCTTCAACTGCTGAATGACTGGAGGTTCTGAAACACAAAACACCAGAGTCACTTTTCACCTCGCAAAAATAAAAATATAGTAGCCATTAGGGGTGCAACAAAATACAATTTCCACAAAAACAAGACGAGACACGACAGAGATTTTGACCTTCTTTATAATAAATAAATTGTGTAATCCAGTTCCCAATTTTGGGGTCACCATTTTTGATTTACTTTATTTAATATTTTGGCTGTCATTGTAGGGGTGCTTTTTGGGACTACAGCTTCTCAAAAAGATGTAACTCACCAGTACTCTCTATTGGAACTATTTTTTTTATCCAATCCAAACGTAAAAACATGGGAAAAAATCTCATCAGAAATCAGAATCTCATGGCAATTTTGTCTCGCGAGATCTTGTGGCACGAGAACTTGTCCCATCCCTATGAGCCATTTAAATAAAGACCTTTTAACTATTCTTTTCCTGGTGCAATTTTTATTTTTTGTGCCTGGATTTAGTTTTGTCTGAAGTTTTGATCCTTTTTCCAAGAGCACCTCTGCCTGTTCTCACTGACTCACTCACACCTGCAGCAAACAATCCACTCATCCAATCATGGGGTTTTTATTTTGCTCTTTTGTCCGTAAATAAATCCCTCTCCCAAATATGGAACTCCAAATTCACCACTGTAACCGCAAGCTTCAATGAGCTTCATTTGTCTGGAGCTGAACTCTGTGGGGGGGGGCGTCACACTCACTTAGTCCACTTTTTTTATACAGTTTATGGACTGGAGCGACACCAAACTGGAGTCTGTGTTACTCATAAAAAAAAAAACAAATCGCAACACTGCTCATTGTTGTTTCATGACTTTTAGTTACATAACTACAGTCATGTTACATAAGAGTGAGTTGTACAGTTGTAGGGAGTATTATCTGTTACATAAAAGTGAGTTGTACAGTTGTAGGGAGTATTATTATGTGTTACACAAGGGTGAGTTGTTGTGCAGTTGTAGGGAATATTATATGTTACATAAGCATGAGCTGTTACGCTGTTGTAGGGAGTATTATCTGTTAAATAAAAGTGAGTTGTACAGTTGTAGGGAGTATTATTATGTGTTCCATAAGCATGAGTTGTTGTACAGTAGTAGGGAGTATTATCTGTTACATAAGGGTGAGTTGTTGTACAGTTGTAGGGAGTATTATTATGTGTTCCATAAGCATGAGTTGTTGTACAGTAGTAGGGAGTATTATCTGTTACATAAGGGTGAGTTGTTGTACAGTTGTAGGGAGTATTATCTGAGTTAAAAGAGCCTGTAAACCGGCTTCTCTCCTGCTGTGAGTGAACACGTCGCATCCAAAACAAGACGGATGGGCTGTTGACGGCGACGCTGATAAGGAATCTGGACGCGTCGTAGTAAAAAACAAACGCCCAGCTGTCAGCGCCTAATGCCTCATAATAATAAAGACTTCATTTCCCAGGGGGCCGAGGGGCTCATTACAGCAAACAGCCGGGACAATGGTCACATAGAGCAGTGCGCGTGCCTCCCTATCCTGGCCATTTCTGAACACACGCCGTCCGCTCCCCGGGGACTCAATCCCCCAGAGTTCATTGCAGCATGTGGAAGCAGGAAGCACGGCCATCTGCCACCGACACGGGACTAAATAATAAGCAAAATTTGAGGAACAGGTAAAAAAAAAAGAAAAAATACAGCCAAAGCAACTGTTTCGAAAATACCTGAAGAAAAATACAAAAAAATCTACATCTTAATAGTTAACAAGTATTTGGCCTGTGCTCAGACTTTTTAAAAACTACTACAAACACAGCTGAACCTGGATCACCAGAGCCTTCACCTGCAGGTACAGACACATATGTCTCATCATTATATGATGAGGGTCTGAACAGAAGACACAAAAGTGGCGTCGCATCTTCACTTTTTATTCTACGTTAAGACAAGTGTTTTCAGGAGGAAACCTGTGTGTCTATGGTGACGAAAAAGTGTGTGGAATTGGATTGGGTATGCATGCCGTCTGGCTCTCCTGTGACCAAGTGATGCATGCAGAATTTGACAGAGGTGACTGCAGATCCTTCTCTGTTCACTAATATTATCTCTGCAGATTCTCCACATTTGTTGGGAGCCTCCTGTAAGTTTATTAAAGGTGTCAGAGCAACTTGAAATGGAAATGATCCGACATGTTTGTTTCATGTTTGTATGTATGTGACATAAACGTGTACGTGACCTGAGCAGATCTGACCAGAGTTTTGCATCTTGGGCAGTGCAGACGGAAACACTACAGTGGAGCATATTCAACTTTTCCACTCTGCAGGGTGCTTTTAGATCTCCTCGGGGTCACATTGACCCAAAGATTTTTTTTCCTTCCCCCTCTCTTGGTGTGGGTCACTCAGACCCAAAAACTTATTTTCAAATAAATTCTCACCAGGCGAGAAAATACATTTTTGGGTCTGATTGACCCGCCGCAAGAGAGCGGGAAGGAAAAAAAAATTCTTCGGGTCAATATGACCCTGAGGAGAGCATGAGGGTTAAGCCCCTTGTCGTTTTTACCTGTAAGCATTCTCGTGTAAACACACCCTCATTCTCAGTTTATGTTCAGGTCTCATGTGAAGCTCAGAACCTCCAGAATTCCCTCCCTGAGCTGCAGAGGCTGCACTAGCACTGACTCATGACTGGCTGCAGGGGCTGGGGTTTATGGACTGACCATTCAGATCAGAGAGAGACATTTTAGGATTTCACCATTGAAACTGAAACCTCATGTGAGGCAATGAGACAGCAATTAAAACTGTTAAGCTCTTATCTGTGGTGCACAGATAAGTTCATGAAACATACACACAGTCCCTTTACAATGGACTTGAATTCAAACATATTCATCATGATTTTAGTATTTTGACAAGATCTGTAAACTGTGGCAACTAAAATCAGAATTTCTGTTCAATTACAATATTTGCACTGGCCCAAATGATTCACTGTACACAGCAGGTGGGCTCCAGAAGAGAGAGAGGTGCTCCTAAAATAAACAAATGAATAATCAAAAGCCTGATCTGAGATTCTCTCTCACACTAGGCTGTCCCTAGAGACTCAATCCCCCAGAGTTCATTGCAGCATGTGGAACCAGGAAGCATCGCCATCTGCCACGATCCGACGCGGACGACACGAGAAAGTCCAATCAAAGTCCAAAAGACGAGAGGAAAAATCCACACGGCACACGCAGAAGTCACACACTGCTCACATCAAATATCAAGAACGAGGCAAAATAAGAACTAAACCAGGACTAAACAAGGACTAAACTAGAACTAAACAAGAACTAAACCAGGACTAAACCAGGACTAAACTAGAACTAAACCAGGACTAAACTAGAACTAAACCAGGACTAAACTAGGACTAAACCTGGACTAAACCAAGACTAAAGCAGGACCAAACCAGGACCAAACTAGAACTAAACTAGGACTAAACTAGGACTAAACTAGGTCTAAACCATGTCTAAACCAGGTCTAAACCAGGACTAAACCAGGACTAAACCAGGACTAAACTGGGACTAAACCAGGTCTAAACATGTCTAAACTAGGACTAAACCAGGTCTAAACCATGTCTAAACCATGTCTAAACCAGGTCTAAACCAGGTCTAAACCAGGGACTAAACCAGGTCTAAACCAGGACTAAACCAGGACTAAACCAGGACTAAACCAGGTCTAAACCAGGTCTAAACCAGGTCTAAACCAGGACTAAACCAAGACTAAACAAGGACTAAACTACGTCTAAACCAGGACTAAACCATGTCTAAACCAGGTCTAAACCAGGTCTAAACCAGGTCTAAACCAGGTCTAAACCAGGACTAAACTGGGACTAAACCAAGACTAAACAAGGACTAAACTAGAACTAGACCAGAACTAAACTAGGACTAAACCAGGACTAAACTAGGACTAAACCAGGACTAAACCAGGCTCACACTGCTCGTCTAAATGGAAATGTTGTTCCTTTAATAATATTTATCATAAAGTTGAGCCAAACTTTGTACTAGTTCGTGTTTGGTGCAGATAGATCCAGTAATGATCCAGAACCATGTCGCATTCAAACATCTGCATTTGAACCGTTTCAATGCCAATTCTCCCACACACGTCCAACGCTATTTGAAACTGCACGTTCTTTATCTCGCTACGCCGGGCCGTGATTATATTCGTAGAAATGGGGCCCGCGCGATGCGGAAGAATTCAGAAACGCCTGGAATGATCTGGTGTTTTGCTCCAGTGAAAATGAAGGAGGAGAAAAAAAAGAAAAGGAGGAGGAGGGGCTCTTTTCTAATGCAAATTGGTGAGGTAATGGGCGAGAGGGGCCACATCTGATCAACAGGAAGCCGCCAATAAATAAAAGAGCATTGATTTTTTTTTTTGGCGCCTAATTTAACTAAGCTTCCCATAAAGACCGACGGCTGCTCCGGAGGTCACGGAACGCAGAAATGTGGAGGTGCTGGGAAGTCATTACAACATCATTATAAAGTCGGACAGACTTTATCAATTAGATGACGTGATATACAAATGTAATCATAAAAATAATAACAATAATGTGGGATAATCAGAAAACAATGCAGCCCCATGTACAGCTAACTTTAAGTCATGTTTAGAATGTTGTTCCCTCCTCAAAAACAGACCTGGAGTTGTGTTCAATTATTATTATTAGTCTGTCTACATCTCCAAAGCTCTAAATATTCTTCTCAGTTCCACCTTGTGATGTCATGCAGTGGTAGTTTGTCAAGTTTTCAACAGCTCCTTTTACCTTTAGTTCAGTCGAGGTCGGCAATTCCACGGTTGAAACAATCTGTATGATTCTAGTGAAGGTGTGGAGCACTTCCTGAATTACCACATGACATCATAAGGTGGAACAGACAGATTGTTTTCCATTTAAGAGAAAGAACATAAATAAATAAACTATAATAACTGTTTCTTTTTTTATGTTAAACACGTGTGTGTGAATGAAACAAAACAACTGCTGGTATGTTTTTTACGAGTAAATTACATCATGTGAATAATTGCGAGGACTTGTACT